CTCATAAATAATAACTTTTGTATTCAAGAACTGTCTATAGTGAGCCAGTAAATCATACAGAAATATGTAAATTCATTTAATATTTTTATTTGTAATTTATAAAAAAAGATAACACTGTTTATTTATTTCTAGGAATCTTATTAAGTAAAACTTTTTTTAAATAAAAAATTGAAAATACAGAAAATGCATGCAAATGCTTGAAATCTAAGAATCAGAAACATTTGAACGCGTAGTACATTCAATATTGTGCATTACCCGGAGATGAAAGTAGTAAACCCTGAGCCCGGAGGGTCACGAAACCCGAAGTCTCCGGGTGAAACCCGAAGAGGTGGCAACTTTAAATGCAGACCATTGCAGTTCGCAAGGCCGAGCTTAAACTCCCTATTTAAGCCTTTGAGCGGTCGATAATTGATAGGGAATGTCCAGAAGTGCCGAATTTTTCGACAGCAAAAAGTTTGTGCGTGCCTGATAAGGAAAAGAACGTAATTTTTCGTGCTCTTTCTGTATTTAATTACTTTCTCGACTGCGTGTTGTCGAGTTTGCATTTTGTGGAGCCTTGATACTTGTGGCTTTCACCAGTGAAAATGCTACTGCCTCAATCGTATACAGGACTTGAACCAAAATTGTTCAATGATGCACTACTGATCTGAGGCCACGACATGCACCAAATCGATTTCCCAATCGATTTGGGGCGTGTCATGGCCTCAGATTTGAAAGTGTAATTGTATGGGGGGGGGCGCAACTCCACGAAACTCTAACTGTTAATTATTTTTATTAAAGAGGGAAAAAAGGCCCAGGTAAGATTTTGATCAGAACTCAGGTCTTCAAAACCAGGGAAAAGGAAGTCTTACTACATTAGTGCTTAGGTTTGTGTCTTAGTGTAGTCTGTTCTTCAAATTTTTATCTTAAAGGTAAGGAATTTTGATACGAATCTTTTCGCGTAATTTTGAGTGAAATTTCTGGTTTTATAGTTTAATACTTTTAGCGTTTCTGGGAAAACTTGAAAAATATATTCTCAAAAGAAAAAAATAGGCGTCCCATTTCGGTGACAATGATAGGAAATGACAATTTTAATTTTGGTTTAAACATACCACAAAAATGATCAGGAGGAAAAGAACAAAGGGGGTGAGAGGATAGGAGTGGAAGGAAAAAGTCGCAAGAAGCCTGAAATAACATATAATGCATCACACCATATTCTGCAATTGTCCCCCAAATTGCGACATTTTTATCAGTAAACCTATATAAAACGTGAGTGTGAGATTTCTCACCAGTCTCTTCTTGGAAGTATTTTTATTAAATCTCTGTGAAAAACTAGTTCAACACACCACCCCCTTGCCTCTAACCTAATTTCAAAATCTTTGAGACTAAAATTACTCAAATTGCATAAAATTTCCCTTTTTTGGGGACAAACTACCATGTGTAAGCCGTGTGCCATATAGCTTTTTTCGTTTTTCTTGCAATTAATTTATGCGACACACACACACACACACACACACACACACACACAAAACATACTCTCATTCGCTAAAACTCCGGAATCGTGCGTGAAAAGAAAGCGTGTAGCCCACTGGAGAAAACATATTGTTCCTGATGAACAAGCTTAACGTAATATACTCTCGTGAGCGCTCAGTTTGGTGGCAGTTTCAGAAACGAACAAGTCAACAATTACAATTTTTGGATTAAATAATAATAATATGCCTTTTACGATGGCCAGGCTCGGGCCATCAGGCCCGCTCTTCCGCCTAACCACACGTCACAAATACAGAGTAATGTACTAAATTGATATTTTGTCAAAGCAAATTGATATCTATTACACTTAAAGATAGATATTATAGCCCGAAATAATAAATTATAATTAATGCTCGGAGGATAGTTTCATCGGGGAATTTTCGGATTTTGTTGCGGGAAATGTGGTTCAGACCAGTGTGTGGTATGGAATTGGGCGCGGTTTAGCAATACTGCTGTCGCGAGGTGCTGCCAAAAGGAAGGGCATAGAAGATGGTGGTGGTGGTGGTGGTGGTGGGTCTTATGAGTTCCACGGGAGGACGATGTACAAACGACGCAAATGGCGTGAGATACTGCAGAGCAAATCCAAACGAAAGTAAAACGCACCCGTAGACCGGGCGGAGCATCGTCTCACGACCGCACTAGCTATACCAAAATCTCAAAACCACGGGTGAGCGCCCCAAAAGGCGTAGGCCGCTGAAACCAATAAGACGGAGGGTGTAGAAATGATGCAAAAACGCAGTAAATATCGGGGATACCGCGGAACAAATCCAAAGCAAAGTAACATGCACTCCTGTATTTCAGGTAACATAGACCCAATGGGGTAGTTGATATTATAAAGGCCCGCTAAAATGTTTGCTACAAATTTTCCTTCGGAATCTGTTCCTTCTTAATAAGTTTGGTTTAGAATAAAATTAAGATAACATGCAATAATTAACGCATTTTATTAAGAACACCTTTGTTGCTGTCTGTTAAATATTTCTCTCTTAGAAGCCTGTTGCATAACTTACATTGAAATATGTAATTTGGGAGAAATGTTATGTTTTCAGAAGTTAGTGGCAATTCAATTTTGATTTAAAGATTTTTTAGGGATTTATCATTTACACAAATGAGTTACTATTTCAAATAAATACACCTGCTAATCAGAGAGCCATGTTCCATAATTTTATTTTGTGGAAATTTTCAATAGATAAAACAGTGTTCTAGGCACTACTACTGCCTGTATCTAACTTGGCCATGATCCAGCGCCATTTGTAGGGCAGCCCCTGTTGTCACCAGCGGTGTCATATTGCTGTAGACTCTCAAATGTTCAGTTCGCCATGCAGTGACTCCCATAACTATTCTGACACTTGAGTGGAAATGTAAACAAACGTGCACAGTGAATAATGTTCCAACAGAACACGTTAAAAATAACACAGCAAAAGACTTCAATATATTGTAGCCATCTCCTCTTACTGTAGCTCTTCCTTTGATATGCTTTGTACAAAGCTTTTTAGTATAAGGAAGATAATTTTTTCTCCATTCATGTTATATTCTTTGTTTAATTCTTGTTTGGACTGAATTTGGTATTTTCTTATTTCTTTTTCCAATTTATTCCCAAAGATATTCTCTAACAGTAAGGTCTGATGACTGAGGGGGGGGGGTGGATGAAGTACAGTTGATGAGTTATACAGCAGCTGAAGTTGAACATCCTGTGACTTGTGCTAGGGATCATTATTCTGATAAAAATAAAATCAACAATACCAATATTTTCAGTACTTAGTTTCAAATTTTGTTTAGGAATTGCAAAATAGTTTAAGCAGTTAGTTTTGTTGACAAACAAAAGTTCACTGTTGCCATTGGCTGACATGAATTTGCAATGCCCACCCAACTTGAAAATGATATAACCTGCCAGAGGTGTCACACTAAGTTATCATTCTAAGAAGAATCCTAATGTAAACAAATGAATGTTAAAATGACTCATTGGCTTGCAGCATGAGCTCTGCTGATGTCAGGATCGTGATGCTTAAGTAAATAGTTCTGTATCAGAACTTACTGCAAACTAATAATAGTATGTTGTATTGAGCTCTTCAGAACTCTTCCTTTGTGTTCTGATGATAATTGTGTGTACTCTCTTAAAGTTGGTTTCGAAAAATTCTTCGGCTTCATTGAGAAATTATCCCTTTAATTCTTTAGTTGGTTCTTCCTCCTTCGATGTCCTTTCGGATTTGGTTGACATTGAAACCCCAACTTACATAAAACAGCTAGTGTAAAAAAATCTGCCACTGTTATAACTCTATCCCTAAGAAGTTTTCATTAAATAATTAAATCGCTTATTGGAGATAATATCTGAGGAGGTAAAAAAGCTTTTGAAGTTTTACTTCTTATCGAAGCTGCGTTATCTTCCTATGTAATCTTTGCTGTTTTCAAGAAGAAATATTTGTGAACATGTGAACATTTTCTCTGCAGAAAAAGGTTCTAAAGGGTTTCATGCAATGTACCTCCCAAAACTAAGAACAATTTCAAATTCAAGGGTGCTGTTTCATCACCTAGATAAATCCTAGAATATTCATTTTTGTGAAAATCCTGTTAACAGTTTAGGTGCTAGTGTTTGTCTTTATTTCTCAGCATTATGTAATTTCAGCTATTTACTCTCTGGAATACATGGCAATGTGAAAGGATGAGAAGAAATAGAAAAGAAATTTAAGAGTAAAACAATCAGTAAATCACCCTCCAACTTTAGCCCTCCCTGAGGCATGCAATACTGAAACCCATTTACTGAATTGATGTAAATATTTGTGTTTTTCTTTTTGACCTTTCTCAATTGTTCCTTAACCCTTGAACCTGAATGATTAGACTTTTTAATTGTGCCTTGACCACTATCTTATTATACTAATGTCCAGATAAAAGCCACTGCTAATATTAATTAGGGGGCGAGAGCCAGTGTAGGTACTTGAGATTAGACAACAGTATGTCATTCAACAAGCAAATTCAAAGTATTTACCTTTCTTTTTGCTTGCATTAGAAGTTGGCAAGCCACTGGTGAAGTAGTACAATGCAGTATATTAATTCAGTAAATGTGCTTTTGTGTTGATCACTTGATTAACAGAATTATTTCAACTTTCAATTGCTTTGTCTATTAAAAATACTTACCAACTTCACTTACCTAATCTTGATTACCTCAGACGGTAAGAGTGTAAATCGAGTAGGTTCTTGTGATTGAAATCCTTGCCTTTTTGTTTTAAAGATTTCAAAAACAATGAACTGTGGCAATTTCTGACTACTTTATAAGAAAAGTGGTGCCAATACAGTAAGTTCATGCAATTAAAGCCTTTGCTGCCTTCCTGCTTGAAGCTTTTACCTTTCTAGGTTATAAGATTTTTATCCATATTATTTTTTGTGATCACTTGTTAAAACATTAACCTAATCACCTTCATGTTATTAAATGTTTTGGTAAACATTGCTTCAGTGATCCGATTTTCATGTGCTCATAAAAAATATTGTTTTTGTTTCAGAGACAGAGAAGAAATTCGAAACTTCATTCAGGAGGTTGCTCCTTATGAACCAGACATGACTTCATGTGTAGGAAATGGGTCCATCATTAACAATGGAAGGATTGAAAAATTTCTAACCAATATGCTGCAGAGTACAAGCCTTGGTGGACCACTTGAAGGGCCCCACAAAGTGTCTCCTAAGAACTGTACTACTTGTGGTTTCAAAGGAGGTGCTTGGAAATGTCAAGATTGTTTAGAGATTTTGTGCAAACGGTGTGCATTTGTTCACAACAGCTCATTTACAACTAAAGGTCATTTTGTTCTGTCAATACCTGATGAACCTCCTAATATTGTCTTACCAATTCCAAACTTTCCATCCACCAGTTCGACCCCAAATTCACTCAATCTATCACCAATGAGCCCACTACTATGCGATCTGCATCATTCTGAAATGAGTATGTACTGTGATACTTGCTGCAAACCAGTATGCAAAGAATGTGCCCAAAGGACCCATAGATTGCATCAAATGAAATACTTGCAGGGTGCTTTAGATGAAACTTCTAAGAGAAGTAATGGATTGCTAAAGGAAGCAAAAAATGGTCTTCTTACAATGGAGAAAGGAATGAAGAACGTTACTGAAATGTCAAAGAAAGTGGAGCAGAAATTTTTAGAAGTGCAGAAAGATTTGACTGGGACTGTGAGAAGATATATCATGGCAATTGAGGAACGAGAAAGATACTTGATGGGTCAGCTCGAAAGAATTAGACAGTTGAAAGGAAAATCTTTAATGACACAACTGGAGAACTTACAAAAACTAGCAATTAGACTTCACAGTTGTATTGAACTATTGACCAAAGAAGTTGACAAAGGGTCTGCAATTGGCTTACCTCAAATTTTAGACAAAGTGGCTGCTGAACTTCATCAAATTCGATCTCTAAACATGAGTATATTGCCATACGAGGATGATATGTTCTCATTTGTTCCTCCTGATCAGGTTGTTTATAGAGCTATACTCTCCTTTGGCAGTATTAAAAGTTCTGGGAGTGCAATTGAAACAGAAGTTAGAGGTAGAATTCCACGAACTGCACCTGTGGGCAAAATGTCTGCATTTGTTGTATCTGTGCATAACCATTTAAAGGAGCCACATTGTTATGGGCAAGGAGGATTGACTGCAGTAATGGTGCAACCAGACGGAGCAGTTACTTCACCAGACATTATAGATCAAGGAGATGCCTTGTACAAGATCTCTTTCTGCCCTCAAATTGAGGGAGAACATGCTCTACATGTGCGCTTTAGAGGAAAAAGCATTCCACACAGCCCTTTTAAAATCAAAGTTCGCACTTGCCGAAATTACACAAACCTAGGAAAACCTTTATTATGTTTTGGTAGTGAAGGTGAAGGAGATGGAATGTTGTGCCGCCCTTGGGGTGTGTGTTGCAATAAAGAAGGGCAATTGATTGTTGCTGATCGAAGTAACAACAGAATTCAGGTTTTTGATTCTAATGGGAAGTTTGTTTTCAAATTTGGTTCTCAGGGTTCAAGCCCTGGTCAATTTGATCGTCCAGCTGGTGTTGCTGCTGACAAGGATTCTAATATTATTGTTGCTGATAAGGACAACCACAGAATTCAAATATTTACAAAATGTGGAAAATTATTGCACATGTTTGGAGAAAAAGGCCCTAAACCAGGTCAGTTCAATTATCCTTGGGATGTAGCAGTTAATGGCGATGGTGACATTATTGTATCAGATACTCGAAACCATCGCATACAGATGTTCAGAGCTGATGGATCATTTGTGTCGAAGTATGGTTTTGAAGGTTCATCAAACATGTGGAAACACTTTGATTCTCCTAGAGGTGTCGCTTTCACCCCTGAGGGCCAAATAATTGTCACAGACTTCAATAATCATCGTCTTGTCATCATAGAATCAAATTTTAGCAACGCAAGATTTCTGGGTAGTGAAGGTGCTGGTCCCAAACAGTTCTTGAGGCCTCAAGGAGTAGTAGTTGATGATGATGGATATATCATTGTGGCAGATTCAAGAAATCATCGTATCCAAATATTTGATATTGATGGAAGTGTTGTCTCACATTTTGGAACTTCCGGAAAGAACATAGGAGAACTGGATCGGCCTAGTGGAATATGTGTTACTGCAGATGGAAAAATTGTTGTTGTTGACTTCGGAAATAACCGTATTCAAGTCTTTTAAACAACATAAATGGCCTTCACAATTGATTACTACAATTTGAAATTTAATTTTTAATCAGAAAGTTATTCTCATGAATCAAGAATTCTAAATTATACATACGTGAAGAATGTAGCCCTATCAGTTTAGTACACTGATGAATCATGCTTTTGAGTTTGTATATGACCCAATGTTTTTTAATTTTTGTTATATTCAGTAGTTTTGTTAAACATTTGTTAAGATGCTGACTGCAACCTCAGGGATGTCAAATTTATTTTTATTGTTTTTTCCCTATTTCAGACGACTTTAAGTTGTCATGATGAAATGGGGATTCATTTGCCAATGTGTGTTGGCTTTACAGAATTTATACAATGTAAATAACAAATTTCTTAATTTGTAGTAATTTCAGGGAAAGAATATTCTAATGCTGTGGTATGAATCCTTTGAGACATGAGAAAACTTCCAAAAGATAAAAGGGTATTCACTATTTTTTTTAATTGTTAATGTTACGTCCAAAACTACAAATGACATCTATGATATAGATAAGAAAAATGCAGTATTTTGCAATTTGATGTCGAATCTTTATAGGACTGATTGACAATTCCCTTCCATTGCTTTGAAGAGAGATTTACTCGGCTACACATGCTGTCCTCTTGTTGAAATGTGGTATTGGGATATGATCCTAAAGTGTTATACTTGAGTTTTAAATAGTATGTCAATATGAAATGTGACTTCACAATGCCATGAGAAACCAATGAACATTTTTAAAAAGAGAAAACCTAAATAAAATCTGTTAATGTGAAAAGACATGTTTTCAAATTTGAAATTAAGTTTGACTTGTATCATATAAACGTTTTGGAGTTGACATTTGCATACACGTTTGCTAGCAATTATTTTTTCCTATCATCGTAAAATTTATAACAAGCAACTTCAAATAAAATCAATGTAATTAGAATGCATGTCAAATATATTGTAAATATGTTGACTACTTTGCAATTGCCACTGGGAGGCAGTGTTGCTACATTGCTGAGTACCAAAGAGGAGAAAAAGGAATATTTTTTTAGAATGCATAGCAGACTGTTACAACATAAACCTACAGGTTACAAATATTTAAGCAATCACAAAAACGTGGTTTTATTTTGTGAAGGTATGAATATACCATTAAAACAAAAGATGCAATTTTAATATTTGTCCATGACTGGACAGAAGTACTTAAATGTAAAGTAGTGTTTTTGTGAATTTTTTCAATTTTAATGGTCAACATCCATAAATCAGTGATTTTTCTGCCAGTAAGTATTTTCTTGATAAAATGAATTGTTATGAACAAAGTGAGGAGAATCATGGCTAATAATTTTGCTGCATGACATGATACAACCAAAAGATGGCCTGTGAACACTAGGCATTTTGTAGCACCCCACATACTAAGATAAATATTGTGGGGAGACTTTAATATTCATTAAGTGCAAAAAAATACAAACAAACATGTACACACCAATTTCACGTTCTTATTTAATTCTACTATTATTAAAATTGAAATGGATAAATAAGTCTTGAAATGTGGTATTGTGCATCTTTTAATAATAATTAGATTTTAAAGTTCTAGCTATTTATGTAACTACTGGTGAAAACAATTATTACAATGGGCATTATTGCTGGAAGCGAAGCAGTGTGGTAGAAGGGAGACGTAGATGTGATAGGGATACATGTGCCCCAAAAGTGAAGTTAATGTATAGAAAAATTTATATATATATGGAAAGACTTTTAAGTGCTTTAATGGTACAGATAATTTACTGTACCATTCTCATGGGCATTTCTCAAAAAGAGATAATTTTATTGTTGATTTAAAATCTTGCTTGAGATTTCCTTCGTGCATGAAGTGAAATAAAATGTTCATGTAACTTCCTACAGTATGATTTTGATTTAAAGTGTGGTGCATTTTTGTAATTGTTGGATGTATAGAGGAAATGGCAATTACAATATTATTGCTAAAGTGAAAATATATTACAGAGAGTGTTATTGACACATTTTAACCTTGTAACTTCTTTTATTGACTTTTCTACCATAGGTGGAAATATTTATGTTCCTGAGATGTTATAAAGACTGAATTTCTAACAGTACAAAGTCACATAAGAAGGATGCAATTTTGATTGCTTTCATTGTGCCTAATTATGGAAGGCACGATGGGTATATACTACAGTTTTGTGCATATGTACCTGTGCTACACCTTCAAAGACTGATTATTACAGGCTGTGTAATATCATTGTGCTACCTATTCTAGTGTTGGGATCAATGTATTTTCAAATGGACATTGTAGGTACTGAAATTATTTCACCTACTGTTCTATTGTAACTAGCCAGGTATCTTACTTGGTAGTATGCATTAAAGTTCATACTATTTCATTTGTGTATGTTAGTGCAAGCCCATTTTCATACTTGTGTAGCACTGCTCTGAAATGCACAGAAACCCATAAAGAATCTAGTTCAAACTGAACAACCTTAAATGGCCAGAAATTCAGGTGAGGGTTCCTTCTCGTTGAAGCGGGATAAAAAATCAGATTGAAATGTTAATCAGCAGGTATTATAACTTCCAAAAATGTATACGATTTGTTTGCCTGATTCTGTGTAGTGGTGCCTGTTGTCGAATAACATTCTAGTTAAGCTATGAAATTTTCTGTACCAGCTTTGACCGAACTTTGACAATTTTCTTGCTCAGTCAAATTATTCCCATATCTAGAATACTTTGTACATTTAAATATTCTGTGGGAGACTGAAGTTCCTATTTTACTACTTTAAGGTGTAATGTTATAGAAAATTTTAAGATTTTTTGTTTCAAAGTAATATTTAATTTATATTATGTTTTGAATATTTTATTTGTTCTTTTCCATTCTAGATAAAATTCTTTCTACTGAATGTATTCATTGTAATCTAGTTCATATGACAAACGCCTTCCTCGGTGTGTTTATTAAATATTTGTGAAAGAATTTATATCACTTATTTCTCCAGTAGTTTTTAGGTGACTGGATTGAAGCAGGTTTTAATTTATCACAATTCAGCAGTATGTAATTCAGTGCTAAATAAGAATGAGGTTTAAAATTTTGTTGAAATTAGCAGTACTAAAGTACAGCTCTACAATCAGAAGCCAGCTTTTTTATTATTAAGAAATGTGTAATGTTCCTTTGATCATACCTAAGTTTATGTATAGACATTAAAGTAAACTTGGAGTGGCACATATATTGCTACGCTACGTTATTATATTACTTATTGTGCATGTCTGGTTGTATACCGTTTGTTGGGCATAATTCCACAACATGAGAAGGTCAAACCCTCCATCCAGACAATTGTACAGTGTAACTGGAATGCACAACCTTGTAACGGTAGCTGATGTGATATCTTGTACAAATTGACTTGCATGGGATAGTATTTATTTGAATGAAATTGAAATTGAATTGGTTAACTGTTTGACTTAACACAAATGGATGTTGCAGTGTTAATTCATAGGTGCTGTCTGCAACTTCATTTGTACCTATTGTGTGAAAACATTTGCACATTTTTGTATCTGGTCTTCTGTAAAGTGTTTTCCAAAATTTATATAATGACTTTATGAACATACTTTTAGGGAATGATGTTACCCCTAGTCTGAGGGATTCAATATTAGTTTGAGTAATTAGAGTATTGCTGCTAATGCAGATGTATGCCTAAATTGTTTATGTACCTATGTCATCTACTAAAGGCAATAAGATTATAATAATGTAATTTCAGTTTCTCAATTTGTGTACGTTGTCCATTGTTATGTGGGGATTTGAGAAATGTAATAAATTTTTTGGATAAGTAAGTGTTTGATTTTTAACTTAACTGCCAAATAAGTTCTGCGATAATTACACTCCAGATCGCAATCAACCTCCGAAAATCCAGATTCATTGATGCCTGCCTCTAGTAATACCATTTTAGAAGGCTAGTTGTACAACAGCACATACTTTCCTGCTCTATTGGAAATAGTTACGTAACATGGAAATATTGTAATTTCTTTCCTTCTAGCACCTCAGCTGTAACTTGAAACTGAAATTTAACCTATTCAAACAGCCTGTGGTGCATACCTGTTAATTTCTATACCCAGGTACAGTAGTCCTTTGTCTATTATAAAGGAGAGAAACTGGAATGAATAGGTTAAAGTATTTGCTGCTTTTTGTACAGAAAAGAATATCACACAGACCTGCTTTAATTTCATTGAAGTGAGCTTTCAATGCTTGAATACCATAATCAGCCATTACACTGCAACATAAAACTTGTCAAGTTTTTATCTTTTAATTGTAAGTCGCATTTATTACTTTCAATCTTTCCTTTCATAAGAATATTATCTACATCATTCTATCACATCCCACAACAATTGGAAGAGTTGAAACTTGTTTCTTTGGAAAAAATTGTTCACTGGAAAGGAGATCACCACCACTATAATTTGCTAAATAAGCAGAAAAAATTGAAAGAAATTTGGAGTAGTTTCTGAAAAAATAATTGTTAATAATTTGAAAATTGCCAATTGGTGCATTACTATCTCAAATTTATAAATTATTGGAATATCATTTGCAAAATTTGATTTAGTACAATATAGAACTTTGGCCTAAATTTCTTAGATTGAAAAGTAAGCCACCTTTAAGAGGGAGTGGGGGAGTCTGCAATACAGGTTGTTGTGTTAGAATTCATCTGCCAGCTTCAGGGCATATTCAGTGAATAGGCAGGGCTCTGAATCTAATTACCTAAAAATGCTTTGAAAATAACTTCCAAAAAAGGAGAAAATGACCTGAGTTTTTAAAGAATGCTCAAATGTATATGAAAATGTTATTACATTTTACCATTTTAAATAAAATGTATTTATAAAAAATTATCTTTAATATAAAGTATTTTAGAAGGAAATATGATCCTTAGCTCTGATCTTCCAACTGTCAGTTTTGAAAGATCCAGGAAGTTATCGATGGTCCATGTAATTTTGAGAATTCAAAAAGAGTCCACTGCAAAGGAGAATTTCGTCATGAACAAATGATACAATAAAAACTTTGTTTTAGTGTGTTGGAAATTTATTAAACACACACTAACAAAAAACTAAAAGGAAACAAAATGAGTAAAAATGACAAAGGTAAACAAACACCTAAAAATTGAAAAATGGCCAAACATGACCCAATAAGTATACATTTCCATCACCTATCCGTCGTGATTAACATTCATGTACAATTTACTAAAATAATGCAAGAATGAAATGACCGAAAGAATTGGGGCCCTGGTTATAGGCCTTACCAAGGGTGGTGTTGGAGAATCACATCCATGTGCATGCGTGATGAAGCGCGCTAGGTCGCGTAGAAACCTGCATCCTTATTCTTTCATGCTTTTACAGAATTATTTTAAATTTACTTTCCTCTATACGTACGTATACACGGAGTATTATATGTAGTATAGAGAAAGTTATGTAGTGATATGGAAAACTGATTTCGGGATTTCAAAGGAAATACGCATTTTGGAGACCCATGATACCGAAAAAGTAGATTTTTTCAGAACTCCCGTCTGTGAACACCACTAGTGCCTAAGCCATATGTAGGATTTTTTCCAAATTAAACCCCGTGTCGATCTCGCTGAAGTCGAAATTTTGCGAAAAAAAAAATCTTTAAAATGTGGAGGTACTTTACATGAAGCCCCCTGAAATTTTGAAAACTTTCTCAAAAAACTCCAAATTTTTTCTTTAAATTTCTTGTAAGAATAGAGAAATGTACACTTTATAAGTGTGATTTACTCTTTCCTATCTCTATAAATGTGGCATAGGCAGTTCTTTCATTAAGATCATGTACACTTTTTTGAAAATTTTATTGGTTTCGCGCAGTATTGCCAGCTTGTGCAATTTTTTTTAATTACAAAAGCAAGATTTTCTCAAAAAGTCGGCTCCATTTTTTTTCTCTTTAAAATGTTAGTACTGCTAAATGTACTCTATAAAATGACATAGATGCCATGTGGGCCTATTTGTTTTTTTAAATTACAATATTATTTTTTGACTTCTCTCACGTCGTTAATATTATACTAGCGGCAATTTGTTTGCATATTTATGAGTTCATGTGCTTTAAATAGTGTCAAATGAAGTTTCTCGAAAACTCAACAGTTTTCTGTGAAAACTATCTCAAAATTTCTGCATTTTCAGAAATGCTCAAACGCCATTTTCTAAAAAAATGCTCAAAATTTTGTTTTCAAAATTTTCGAACGGGTAGTGCTAATTGTCCTCGTAATAAGGCTTCAAAGTCATCTGGGGGTATTTTTTGTTTTTCAAAATTTACACATTCAATTTCTTTGAATGATCTCTCACGCGGTTTTATGCACATTTCTAGCAAGATGTAAACACTATTGTATTTGTGAGTTAATATGCCACAAATGATTTCGAATGAAGTTTTTCGAAAAATCAAACATTTTCTGTGAAAAAGAGCTTTGAATTTACTGTAGCCCTTAAACGCTAGTTTTTTACTTTGTCGCACTTACTAACCTAAGAAGACACAAAAACACTTATTGCCGGGCCGTAGTAAGGAAAAGTAAATCCAGTTGCCAAATAAAGAAAAAAAACTCAGACATGTTCTGTAGGTCCCTGGTACCGAAAAATAGTTTGACGGCATGACGTCTTTCCGTCCGTCTGTGCATTGCGCTAGCGCATGTACGAGGGTTGCCTTTTATATTTCAGGATTAGAGAACAAAAACAAATATTAATCATCGAAAATCACTTTATTGTTTTTCAAAATATTCCCCATGAACATCTATACACTTTTACATGCGTTTGAACCAATTGTCGAAGCACTTTTGCCACTCTGATTGAGGTATCTCCAAAACATGCATTCTGAATGCAGCAACCGCTTCTTCAGGTGGCGGAAAACGACCTCTGTTTGTTTTTTTATTTACGGGAATAAAAATATGTCATTCGGTGCCAAATCAGGACTATATGGCGGATGACTCATCAAATCGATGTTTTGGGTGCTCAAAAATGCAGTTGTTTGAGCCGATGTGTGAGAGCTCGCATTGTGGTGAAGAGTGATGCGTCTTCGGCGGTCGGTTTTCCTGATTTCTTGGAAGACATTTTCTGACAAACAAATCGTTGTGTTCCACTCAGAATTGACTGTTCTGCGTTGTTCTAGTTGTACGGTTGCGACAGGTCTAGTTTTTCCAAAAAAAACAGGCGAACATCTGTTTGGAAGTGGTTTGTGCGCGAACAACTTTTGTTGGATTTTCTCATCTTTAAACACCCATACAGCCGACTGCTGTTTACTTTCGGGCTCATGCGCGTAAATCCACGATTCATCACCTGTCACGATGTCATAGACGTGTTTCGAAGCACAGCTATTGTGTTTTTTGAGCATTTCTTTCGACCAATCGACACGAGCCTTTTTTTGAGCGATTGACAAATTGTGTGGGATCCAAAGCGAACAAATTTTTTTGACAGTCAAATGTTCATGCAATATTGAATGTATGCTGGTCCCACTAATGCCTAAGGTTGCCTGAATCTCACGATAGGTCACATGACGATCATGCAATATCATTTCACTCACAGCATCAATGGTTTTCGGAACAACTGATTTTGGACGACCTTCACGAAATTCGACTTGGAGTGTACTACGACCACGATTGAATTCACCATACCATCGATAAACACTGGTCCTTGATGGAGCTTCATCGCCAAAAATTGAATTAAGTTCATCCACGCACTGTTGCTGAGTTAATCCACGTCGAAAGTTGTAAAAATTAAACGCACGAAAATGTTCACGATTTAATTCCATTTTGGGGCCAAGACGAATCTTTTAAGTTACTGTAAGCTGCGCAATCATCCTCTACTTTAATAAATACAAATTATTGTTAAGAAAACTCATACGGCAGGCTAAAATTATGAAACATGACCAGGATATTTTGAACTCAAATAATAAAACAGAAGCAATAAAGAATATACTATATTCTAAACTAAAAATAATATATTCTATAAACTAAAAATTCGACCAAATCAACTAGAAGCCTTGTAGAGAATGTTTTAAAAGATAACGATAGAAATGTGAACGATTCGGCAACAGTGGCTACCCTCTTTAACCAATACTTTTCGAGAATTGCTGCCGATCTCAGTAAGGGTCTTCGGCCACAAAATTCAGCATCAGGCGTTTCCCCAAAAATTTCAGGCACGATGTTCGTTTCCGGAACTTCTTCCTACGAAATTCTCCAAATAATAGGTAGACTAAAAAATAAATATTCGGCTGGTTTAGATGAATTTCCGGATTATTTGTTAAAGATTTGCGCGCCCGCCATTATACACCCGTTAACTCACGTATTTAATGTATCCTTATGCACAGGAATTTTTCCAGATATTTTTAAAACAGCTAAGATTAAGCCGCTTTTAAAAAAGGAAACAAATGTAATTCAAAATTATCGTACAATTTCTCTTTTGTCGGGTTTTGCACAAATATTAGAGAGACTTTTTTACATATGAATGAAAACATTTCTCAGTAAACACGACTCGTTTTCAGATTGCCAACATGGGTTTCGAAAATCAAAATCTGTGGAAACAGCCATATTTTCTTTTCTTTAAGATGTCGCCTCATCCACAGATCAAAACCAAGCACCTATTGGAATATTTCTAGATCTTTCAAAAGCTTTTGACGTCATTGATCATAACATTTTCTCTCAAAATTACCGTCGAATGGAATTCGTGGTGTTGCCCTAGACTAGTTATGTTCGTACCTTAAACAACGATCTCAGGGAGTAGAAATACCTTACTGGAAAAATGGAACATTACGAACACACCTTTCTTATTCTTTGCCAATTACAAGTGGAG